TTCTTAAAAATAATAATTAAAAAACACGCGTGTACCCGATAGTAAATTAAGTACTCCATATTATTTCTAGGGTGCGTCGTGCATCGCGCAATGAATGCTCAAGCACTAGTATAAAAGTAAAAGTTACACAAGGCAGTGCTTAAGACTTACCAAACGGAAAGAACTATTTTATAAAGTTTTTCTGAAAAACAATGATGGATCTTGTGCAATTATAACTAGGAACTGTCTTACAAAGATAGTCTAATATCCCATGACAGTTTATCTTCCTAACTAGATACCCTAGGAGTATGTCTTACAAAGATTAAAACATTAATCCCCCGACAACTCCATCTAAGTTATTTACTAATCTAAATTAAAAACTATCTTATTCGCAGATATGGGAAAGAACACTTATCTAAAATCCATTTCCCAAACAAAAATGTTGAGAGATGTGTAGTAGTTGCATATTGCTTTGAAAGCCCTTTTGAAGCATGTTTTCCAAGTTCATCCGTCATACTGTTGACTTCTCTATACACATATGTGATCCTCGAATTCAACTGCTACAACAAACTTTGAATACCTTTTAACTGCACTTGATGCTTCAATGGAAATTTGCTATTCTGTTGAATGGTAGTGACAATAGATTCATTATCTGTTTGTACAACCACCTAAGTTAATCATTTTTCCTGGCAGTGTTGTAGTCCATTAAGTATTCCTTGAATCTCAGCTTCCATACTTGTTGCTATTCCTATGTGCTTGCATTCTGCTCTGATGAATCTTCCATTTTCGCCTCGGATCATATATCCCCATCCGGCTGCACCTCGTTACCCTAATGCTAAGCATCTGTGTTGAGGATTATTTCTCCTGGGTCTGGTGGTTGCCATCTTGAAGAAAACATTGTTCTTGCTCGAGTCATCTCAACTTTAATGTGGAATATCTCTTCAATAACTTTTTGCTCCAATAGATCTCGAGCCTTGAGCTTTTGTACACTTAACATCATGAAAATGTGAGATTTACTGTCTTTAAGAATCAAATCAAATGAAAAAGTCTTATGACCATTTTTTTTCGACTTTTCCATATTTCTCATAATACAAACATCGGAAGAACAATAATTATGGTCTTTTTAGCTGAGGAGTAATTTCCAATTCTTTGCCATCCCCGCACTATACCCCTCCAGCCTGCATTATAAGATCCAACAATCCCCAAATTAGCTGAGAAAAAATTGCCAGATCATTTTCACTTTGTTACAATAAAAGAAAACATGCTCAATTTCCTCCTCATGTGCTAGGCAAAAAGGACATCTAGATGGCTTTAATACAAACCCTATTTTTTGTAAAATCTCAATGGTTTTGGTCATTGTTATTACTCCATGCGGTCCTTAATATAAGTTATTTTGAGTTGTCATAATTTTCATCTAGTACCCATTTTTAATTAACGAAAAAATTTTAAAAATATTTCATAACAATCAAGAGAGCACTAAGAATATGAAAATATATTTTTAAGATTTTTTTCGTCAATTAAAAATGTATATTAAGTGACACTTAGAACAAATCAAAATATCTTATATTAAGGACCGGTGGTAGTATTATATAATTTTAATAAGCCTAACTTTTATTTTTGCATAGAAGAAAGTAATACAACAAGATAAGGCTTGCAAGATAAGGCCAGCAGTTAATACAACAACGTTCCATTTAGATGAGAATATTGTATCAAGTTCTTCTACTCCTTTCCTTCCAAAAAAAAATAGTCCAAATTGAATTTCAAATTTGTACTGAAACTGATAATTTTGATATTTCTTTTGTCGAAAATTGATAATTTTGGTTAAGGTTTAGAATGAATGAGGATTAACCGATATCATCAAGACAATAATTGTTTTAACTTTGTTAAACCGAAACGGCTATATAGGCATTGACTTTCAAACTAAGTAGGACTCCCACCAATATTTTGAGGCCGTATCCAGTAGACCCAGGTGTACCGTATATCCCTCCCCCATCAAACACACGCGCACCACGCGCTCAACTGTTTTTACCTTTACATTAAATACACACAGAAAATTCTTTTCATCCATTTCATCCTCACGCATAAACACACACAAACACACAGTCGACGGAAACTCTCCATTTTAGGGCAAATACAAAATTGACCACCACCACAAAATTACACAAAATCAACGGAAAACCTACTCTGGAAGACGATTTTGGTAACTTCATCTTCTCCTGCGTATTTTCCTTTTGTCAGTTTGTTTTTTCACAAACCCACACACACACTGACGACGGCGAGAAACCCTACATCCGGCCATCTCAAGCTCTCCTTCATCTATACATGCTTCACTGGTAAGTATATTACTCCGGGATCCTATTTTTTTGATTATCCAGCAATATCTTGTGTGTATCCACTAGATTTGAACTATTTATCCATGGTTTCCTACATATGCTATGTGATCGTTGTTCATGCCATAATCTCTGGTTATCCATCTATATCATACTGACATTTGTTATCTGCCTATTTCATTCTGGTTATCCACAAGTTGTAGAGTGGTTATCCAGAAGTTGTAAAGTGGTTATCTACAAGTTCTAAACTGGTTATCCATGCTTTTTTTACATTTTATTCTATGTGGCATGGACAAACTGAACTGGTTATCCATGTTTTTGTGTTTTTTTTTGTTACTTGTTTAGGGTTTAGGGGCGCTTGTCCAAACTTTGTTTCTGGTTATCCACCCATTTTAACTTGGTTATCCGCATGGTGTAAAGTGGTTATCCATTGTTTTTTTTAGATGTGCTTTTATGTGACTTCGTCCATACATTATTTGCTGGTTATCCACCCATTTCATACTGGTTATCCACAAGTGATAAACTGGTTATCCATAAGTTGTAAACTTGTTATCCATGGTTTTTTTACATTTGATTCTATGTGGCATGGACAAACTGAACTGGTTATCCACTATATATCTGAAATGGTTATCCAAGTTTTCCTGCGTGTGTGCTATGGGGTACTTGTCCAAACTTTGTTTCTGGTTATCCACCCATTTTAACTTGGTTATCCGCTTTGTGTAAACTGGTTATCTATTTTTTTTTAGATGTGCTTTTTATCTGGCTACATGTCCATACATTATTTGCTGGTTATCCACCCATTTCATACTGGTTACTCCTTTTTTGATTACTTCTCCTTTTCATATTCTGCTATTTTGTCCACCGACTTCTTACTGATTGTGCAATGCCAACAGTGCCCTAAAGGAGGCTAGAACAAAACATAGGTACGAGTGTATCAGCGCAAGCCACGACCTCAACTGCAACCCAGACAGATCACCGGATCCTGAACTAGAGAAAATAATGGAGCTCCCTGAAGGAACACTGACCATATATAAAACAAAAATCAACCCAAGAAGAACAAGAAGAACAGTCCCTTGTACAAGCTCCAAGGCCCCGAAACTTGTGGAGAAAACCAAAGAGGAAGAAGAGCACACCAACAGGAAATCCAAAGCAACTTGTGGTTGCTGATGACAACGATGATAAAAAGCCCAAAAAGAAAAGAACGAAACCTAAGAACAACAAACTGATGATTGGTCAAGATCCACAGCCAATCAGTTCTGAAGATTCTGTCAAGAAATTTGAGACAAGGATGACACCAAACCATCTCTTCCAACTCATCTCTGAAATCAATAAACCAACAGATCTTACAAAAGAGCCAGATGCGGTAGATTATCGCCAACTACAAAGGTAGGCTATTAGAGATATGGGATTTGGCGCCTTGCTGGATCTCAAAATCAAAAATATTCCAACAGCCTTGTGTAATTTTCTGGCAAGCAATTTCCAGACCGGTGCAAGACAAGTCCCATTGAATGGGAACAATGTACTGGATATCAAACAGGAAGATGTTGTTGTTGTACTTGATCTTCCTCGTGGACCCAAACCAGTGGAAGAATTCAAAAGGAATGATCCCGCTATAACGGACCACGCTGAGATGGTGGATGCATTCAAGAAAAGAATGGGATACAGTAATAAATTCCTGCCAACGAGATCCACCGCGGCACAGTTAATTGCTGGTCGAAAAGATTTTGGTGATGACTTCAAACGAGATTTCCTCGTCTTTGTTTTGAGCACATTCCTACATGGAAACACCACTTCCAGGATCACAATGAACATCCTGAAGTCCCTCGTGAACATCAATGAAGTGACACAATACAATTGGTGTCAATATGTGATTGATGCACTGGTGAAAGGATGCAAAAGTCACCACGATGGGAAACCATTCACTGGACCAATCACTTTTTTCCTGGTACTTACCATATCCGTACAAATTTTACTAGTTATCCATATTGCTTGCAATGTTTATCCAATTTTCTTGTACTTGTCTGATGTGATTGTACTTGTCATCCAACTAATTTGTACTGCTTATCCAACCCCCTTTTTTCCCTTTAAATGGTTATCCATTGTGTTCCTGCCGGTTATCCAGCCTATTTGAACTCATTATCCACTTCATTTGAACTGGTTATCCAATCTGTCTAATTTGTACTGCTTGTACTGATATCATTAACACCAACTTTTTTTTTTGTTAGTTGTGCTACCTTGACAGGTGTGAGTATGAGAGAGCACATCCGAGGTCATTCCCTGTGATCAAATCTTGGGATCAAAAGATGTTGGACGACAGAATAAGACTTCAGGGAAGCAATTTCACAGATGTCTAGACACTTGAACGTCTCAAGAAACCGTCCTCAGCAGCATCCCGAGATGAACAACCAGAGAATGAATCACAGGAGGATACACAGGGAAACCCCAACACACAGCAAGTCTATGTACTGTTCTACCATTTTTTTCAGATCAAACTTACGTATCCAACCTAGCATCTCCACATTCCACTAACTACATTCAATTTTGCAGGACCTTGCTGCTCTTTATGAAAAATTCTACCAATTGATTATCACGATGAGCAAAACTGTTTTAGACATTCGTGAGAAGGAAATGGAGTTAAAAATCGAACCAGATGAATAAGCAAAGCAAACAATCAAGATCCTAACAGATGCAATGGTGTCGATGAGTAGAAAGATGCCTCCGCCTTCAGGTACAATGCAACAGGAACAAGAGCAGCAGCAAGACCAGCAAGACCTCCAGGATGCACAGATTTGTGAATTGTGCGAGATGGCGTGGAAGTCCGCTGAAAGCAGATTTGCAACAATCATAGAACAGCTGCAACGACAAGTAGCTGACCAACAAGAACAACAACAACACCAACACAACATTGTACACGCTCCAATTAATCCCACAAATTTTCAAGACATTGAAATTGACAAAGCACAGGGACTGGAGCAATTGAGCCAGACAAATGATGAGGCTTCTCTTGCAGTGGGGAAATCTGTGCCTACTTCAAAAGAAGTGGTGGTTGATGAACAACAAACTCAACCACAAGGGGCACAGGGACTGGATCAATTGAGCCAGACAAATGATGAGAATTCTCTTCCAGTGGGGAAATTCGTGCCTACTTCAAAAGAAGTGCTGGTTGATGAACAACAAACTCAACCACAAGGAAATGAATATTTTTTTAATGAAACAAATACTTGTCTGATGTGATTGTACTTGTCATCCAACTAATTTGTACTGCTTATCCAACCCCCTTTTTTCCCTTTAAATAGTTATCCATTGTGTTCCTGCCGATTATCCATTCTATTTGAACTTATTATCCACTTCATTTGAGCTAGTTATCCAATCTGTCTAATTTGTACTGCTTATCCAACCCCTATTTTCCCTTTAGATGGTTATGCATTGTATTCCTGCTGATTATCCATCCTATTTGAACTGATTATCCACTTCCTTTGAACTGGTTATCCAATGTGTCTAATATATATGTATGTTCGTACTGATTATCCAACATTCCAACTTTGTACTGCAGAACATGCAACAAATATCTCCACGACAGAAAAGAAGAGATTCCATAAAGATTCCACCGGCCGAGATTCAGGTGTGATATCCACCTATACCAAAAGGTCGAGAAGCACTGGTACCAGGAAAAGGAAAGAATTCAAAGACGCAACTATCCCAAGCTTTAACCTGGGTTTCTTCTCCAGTCAGGAAGACAGTTACCAGACAACCCAGGAGAAGAACACTCAGGAAGATGTCACAGGAAGCGTTGATTTGGATAAAGATGTGAATGAGACTATAGAAGCAGAAGAATATCCAGTACCATCTGCACTCGACGAAACAAAGAATCCCACTCCTTCCATCGATGAAATCATAAGAAGGGCCAGTGCACCAGCTTCAGAATCATTGAGAGATACCAAAAAACTAGAGATTATTGCGGCTGTTGCAGAACAAGTTGAGAAAAACTCAAAGGTGGTTGAAGCAGTCCCTTTAAGCATAATTCCACCCGATTGGAATATTGCTTCTACCACGGGTGGTCTACTCATGCTGGATAAAAATGAGTGTACCAGGCCACCGCCTGCAATCTCAAAGAAAGCTGATGTACTTGATGAAGGGTTAACAAAGACAGTGGAAAAGTAAGTTTGATCCACTGTGACTCCTCACTACAAAATAGAAAGACGAATTTACATACTAACTCTCTTTTTTTTTGTCCTAGGATCCTCAATGAAAAACCTAGGAGGAGAAATCCACCAAGAGTCCACCGGTTGCCCGAACGGTTCAGGTCGCCGTTCATGCTGCAGAAGAAAAACAAGAAAAAATTCATACAGTTGACAGAGGAGAAGAAGAAAATGACCCAAGAAGAAGCCCTGTTGATAGACTTCGCTCTCTTGCAGAGACAAGAAGAAATAGTTAAATAGGGTAAAAGCCACCATCCTTACCCGTGGGATAAAAAACTTACCAGTTTCCAACTATTTGTCTATTTGACTACTTTTTCTATGCAGGAATTTCTTGTTTGAATTTGGAAAAATTGTTTGGGCTGACAGGACAGCATTCTATTCCATGAGGGAAGGGACATGGATAGAAAACAGCATCATAGATGCTTGGGCTGTCATCCTAAACAAAGAAGAAGCTAAATGTGATTCCCCAAGTCGGATATTCTTTGGTGTTTCCTCATTTGTAAGTCAACTAAACCCTTATTGTTTATCCCACCCTGGTAAAATACTTGTCACATGTCTGCAAGTTGTTTATCCAAAAGGTTTTCTACTAGTTATCCAGCCATAATGGGTGGTTATCCATAATGTGTAAACTAGTTATCCAACCATAATTGTTGGTTATCCAGAATCTGTAAACTAGTTATCCGGCCATAATGGGTGGTTATCCACATTCTGTAAACTAGTTATCCATGCCTTTTTTTAGTTGTGGTTCTATGCGGCTGCTTGTACATACATTATTTTGCTGGTTATCCATCATTGTTGTATAACTTACCTACCTATAAGTAATCATCAGGAAGATCATGCATGACCACTAACACTTGTTATCCAATTTGTTACTAATGCTTGTCCATCAGAGTTCAACTGGTTATCCATTCATTCTTGTTTGTCATCTAGGGTACATTTGGTTGACCTTGTATGTGCTTGATACCGATCAGTTTGTTTTCTACTGCATTTTCCAACCATTGTACTGATCATTGTATCATTTTCCAACCACCTCAAACAATAACGTAGGATACAATCAGTCGATACAACCAGTTGGGCAGTAACAAAGAAGAATTAGAGTTTACATTCTATGAGAGGTTGGCTCTTGAACTAGAAGAACAAGGCCCTCAGTGTAGCATCCCTGATAGCGGCAAAAGCTGTAAGCAACATCTTTCACCTCCTTCACTCTTTCTATAACTGGCTGTTAAAAAATTTTCATATGATTTCCCCCTTCAATGTGCAAAATCAGATCTGCTTCCCAGTACACTACCGAGAGCATTACTTCTAGTATGTGTTGCTGGTTCAAGAAAAGAAAGTGCTTACATTCAACAATCTTCATGCAAAAGATCTGGACTACTACAAGCCAACAAAAGATCTACTTGTGAGTGAAAAAAAGATACAAAATGATTGTCATACTTTAAGAATTATCCATTGTATTTTGCTGATCCTTGGATTTTATGGCATCACAGTTTCGGTTCTTCAAAATGTACCTTCAATGCATGTTTCCACACATAGAACTGGTCACTGCTCAGTACACATTGACAGAGGTTACGCTACCATCACACAACGACCAAAAGCCGAATGCGGAAGATTGTGGAATATTCACAGTGCCACATGGAGCATTATGATGGTGGTGACTACGAGGACGGTACTACTTTGGATTTCCATACAGGAAACATCAAAGAGTACCAGTGGAGATACATGTTAAAAATCCTTATGCACCCATCCAACAAAAATAAGGACAAGATCCTCGAAGCAATGCACCATTTCTACACAAATACTGCTGAAGAAGAACCAAAAGAAATTCCAGATCATGTTGATTTGAGCAGCAATCTTACTACAATGACATAAAAATTCAGGGATGGGTTAAATGAACTGTCATTATGTTGTCTTGTATAATTGATTGACTGTTGTAGTCCAGATCATTTTGTAATGGTTATCTAGGATTTTTGTACTAGTTATCTAGCTTCAATATTTCTTTGCTGACTATCCAATGCTCTGAATTGATTATCCAGGACTTTTGTACTGGTTATCCAGCCAATGTACAGTAATATCCAGCCGTTTGTAATAGTTATCCATGATCATTGTACCAGTTATCCATTTGTTACACCTGATTTATCCGAATGTTTTATAGTGATTATCTAGTAAAAAAAAAATGCAAGTACAGTTTTCAACCTGATTATACATGAGATTATACTTGTTATCCAAAACCTGAATACTGCTTATCCATATGTAACGAATGTTTTATAGTGATTATCCAGTCAAAAAAAAAATGCAAGTACATTCTTTAACCTGATTATCCAAAAAGACATAACAGAATAAAATATCACACACTCAAGTACATCGCCGGATCTAGAAACCAGTTTCATCATTAGAGCATGTTACTTCTGGGAGAGATTAACACATTTTTCGGACTTTGTACTGGTTATCCAGATTATCTATGCTGGTTATCCAATGATATTACTGGTTATCCCAGCACTTTATACTAATTATCCAGATTATCTATGCTGGTTATCCAATGATATTATTTATGAAGAAACCGTGTTCAATGTGTTCATGTCTTTTTTTGTAATATCTACGTGCATTTAAAGATGCATATCCGGTACAGGTGAGTTGGATATCTAGTACAAACGAAATGGATATCCACTACAAACGAAATGGATATCGAGTACAAACAAGTTCGATAGGCATACAAACCAAATGGGTGGATATCCAGTACAAACAACTTAGATAACCAGTTCAAACTCGCTGGATACTCACCATGAACACAACGGATAACCAATTTAAATAACCAGTTGGATAAACAGTACAAACAAAATGGATAACCAGATCAAACTGGTTGTATAATACTGCAATTTAAAATAAATAATACTTTTTAAATAAAAATATTTACACCATAATTACTGTTCATTTCAACATCAAGTTGAAATACTAATAAAACATCTTGTTGAATAAACGCTGCGCTCCAGCCTCCCTGGCAGCTTCCCTTCGGTTAGGAAATGAGCACTCACCAAATTTTTGATTCAATATATTTTGGTTGTCAAAATATTTCTGTAAATTGCCAAACAACAAAAACTTAGTGTCCCAATTTCTTGTTCTTTCTACTTCTTTATTAAACTGCTTATCCTATGATGTTATCCTGCTTATCCAATATTTCTTTGCTGATTATTCAATGCTCTGAATTGATTATCCAGGACTTTTGTACTGGTTATCCAGCCAATGTGTGGATATCCAGTACAAACAACTTGGATAACCAGTTTAAACTCGCTGGATAATCACCATGAACACAACGGATAACCAATTTAAATAACCAGTTGGATAACCAGTACAAACAAAATGGATAACCAGATCAAACTGGTTGTATAATACTGCAATTTAAAATAAATAATACTTTTTAAATAAAAATATTTACACCATAATTACTGTTCATTTCAACATCAAGTTGAAATACTAATAAAACATCTTGTTGAAGAAACGCTGCGCTCCAGCCTCCCTGGCAGCTTCCCTTCGATTAGGAAATGAGCACCCACCAAATTTTTGATTCAATGTATTTTGGTTGTCCAAATATTTCTGTAAATTGCCAAACAACAAAAACTTAGTGTCCCAATTTCTTGGTCTTTCTACTTCTTTATTAAACTGCTTATCCTATGATTTTATCCTGCTTATCCAATATTTCTTTGCTGATTATTCAATGCTCTGAATTGATTATCCAGGACTTTTGTACTGGTTATCCAGCTAATGTGCAGCAATATCCTACTGTTTGTAGTGGTTATCCATGATCATTGTACCAGTTATCCATCTTGTTACAGCTGATAATCCGAATGTTTTATAGTGATTATCCAGTAAAAAATGAATGCAAGTACAGTCTTTAACCTGATTATCCATGAGATTATACTTGTTATCCAAAACCTCAATACTGCTTATCCATATTCTGGTTATCCAGATTATCTATGCTGGTTATCCAATGATATTATTTATGAAGAAACTGTTTCAACGTGTTCATGTCTTTTTTTGTAATATCTATGTGCATTTAAAGTTGCATATCCGGTACAAGCGAGTTGGATATCTAGTACAAACGAAATGGATATCCACTACAAACGAAATGGATATCGAGTACAAACAAGTTCGATAGGCATACAAACCAAATGGGTGGATATCCAGTACAAATAACTTGGATAACTAGTTCAAACTGGTTAGATAATCACCATGAACACAACGGATAACCAATTTAAAATAACCAGTTGGGTAACCAGTACAAAAAAAATGGATAACCAGTTCAAACTGGTTGTATAATACTGCAATTTAAAATAAATAATACTTTTTAAATAAATATCTTTACACCATCAATACTGTTCATTTCAACATCAAGTTGAAATACTAATAAAACATCTTGTTGAAGAAACGCTGCGCTCCAGCCTCCCTCGCAGCTTCCCTTCGGTTAGGAAATGAGAACCCACCAAAGTTTTGATTCATGAATGTCATGTTTTGATGAGAATGATTCACAGCAGTGGAAGTGCTTGCGCCTTGAAACTCCTGGCCAGCTCCCTTGGGAATTGGAAATGAGAATCCACCAAAATTTTGATGGATGAACGGCATGCTTTGATCAGAAGCATTTACAGAAGTGGAAGCCCCTGCCCGTGAAAAATCCTGGGCAGCTACGCTTGGATTAGCAAATGAGAATCCACCAGAATTTACGTTCAAAGATGGCATGCTTTGATGGGAAGCATTCACAGCAGCAAAACTTCCTGAGCCTGAATAATCTTGAGCAGCTCCCTTTGGATAAGGAAATGGCATGCTTTGATAATGCAGGTCTGATGCAACTGAAGCTCTTGTTCGGTCAGCAGCAATTCTTGCATTTGTTTTCCTGCCTCTGACTTTGTTACATGCCTTCTCAACAATGCTTTTAGGACGTTCGTTCCTGGGACCAAACTTCTTCCTCTTTACAGCCGGATTCTTTATAACACCATCATTGTCTACAGACTCATCATTATTATTTGAACTAATGAAACTGCCGAGTTCTTCTTTAAGCCTGTCAACCGCCTCGTCACAACATTTCTTTGCATATTTGTTATATTCACTTGCATACACGAAGTCTGAAAATCGTCTCATAATTAGTGCCTTCCACAGCAATGGCCCAGCAGCTTTTCCATCTCCCTCAGTAGCTATGCTTGACCTGACACCAATACCTTTTGTCCATCTCATACATATATAATCTTTAGGAAACTCATCAATAGAGGTTACGTGACAGATTCGAAGAATGTGGCAACAAAGCATGCCCGCCTCAGAGTAGTACCTGCACGTGCATGAGAATCTCTGTAACCTAGTGTCATGTACAACCACATGCTTAAAGTGCTCTATCCCAAACCGCCAAACATTGTACGTCACAATATTGCCATCATTTAAGACCTCTAACTGCTCCTGCCTGCACAACATGCTATCTTTGTGCAACTGCTGAACCCCCCGGAATGCTTCAACTGTGTACACTCTGCGAATGCTCTCCAGGAAAGGGTCACTAGGAAGATATGAATCGATGTTTCCCTGGCTACAGCGTAGATCTTCACCCCTCACAGCTACCCGCCAAAAGTGTACAACATCAGAGAAAATTCTATGGAAATCACAAAGCGATGATGTGGCCTTCATTTTACGACAAATTGCATTATTTGTTGACTCGCTCCTCTGTGAAGACAAGGTACCACCAGAAAAAAAATCTTTGCTAAATGCAGGGCACCACATATGCCTCACATCATAAATACCATTGAGCCATTTGTCATCATGACAATCATACTCATCCAATAATCTGTGCACAACAATATAAAATACATGCATAAAAAGAAAAATAGTTAGATTATCCATATAGTTATCCAGCCAACAAATCCTTTCTACTAGTTATCCAGCCATAACGGGTGGTTATCCAGAGATAATTACTGGTTATCCACAATGTGTAAACTAGTTATCCAGTCATAACCGGTGGTTATCCAGAATGGCTAAAAACTAGTTATCCAGCCATAATTTCTGGTTATCCAGAATCTGTAAACTAGTCATCCGGCCATTATGGGCGGTTATCCACAATCTGTAAACTAGTTATCCATGCATTTTTTTAGTTGTGCTTCTATGTGGTTGCTTGTCCATATATTATTTTGCTGGTTATCCATCATAGTTGTATAACGTACCTACCTATAAGTAATCATCAGGAAGATCATGCATGACCACTAACACATACTCACACAACAATAAAAATAAGAGACACTCTTAATCATGGAAATGATCAAAATAATAATAAAAATATTGACAAACTGACCTCCTCCATAATACCTCGAACTCGATTTCTGTTGAAGTGTATTTCATCAGATAATGAAACTTCTTAACAAAATCTGGCTTGTTCCTTAAATGACCAATTCGCTTTCTTGACTTTTCACCTGTGTGCCATACACAGAGACGATGCCAAGAACTTGGAAAACATGTCCGAATACTTGCAGCAATGGAAGGTGCTTGATCTGTCATTATGGTTTGTGGCTGCTTATCTCCCATTGATTTCAAAAACTGCTTGAACAACCAATCAAAAGAGGGTTCTTTCTCGTTTAACACAAAACCACAACCAAACATGATATTCTTGTTATGATTATCCATACCCACAAACGGAGCACAGATCATTCCATATCTGTTTGTTCGATACGTTGTATCAAACACAAGCAAGTCACCAAACAAATCATAATCCTTTCGCATTCTGCCATCCCTCCAGAAGAAAATACACAGCCTACCCTGCTCATCACAGTCAAAATCAAAGAAGAAATCTTCTTCAGTTTCCTTCCTGTCCCAAAAAATCTTCATGAGCTGATTACAATCGCCACCTT